AGGGCCACAGGTGGGAACTGAACCTGGGCCACCGCAGTAAGAATTCCGACTTTTTAAGCTTATCCATTTCTACTTTAGGTATTCAAAGTATTTCATTTTTGAGTAGAGCAATAATGTATTTTTGTAGACCAACATGACAAAACATTCATTGTCGTTTTCATGATTTTCAATTGAATTGTGGCATTGAAGAAATATGTGACTGACAAAGACCGATGATACACACACCCACACATTTTTTTTCAATTTAGCAAGATCATTTCCACAAAAGGAACACATTTTTATCATATTTAAATATATCATATTTTTCTTCACAGCTCATTGCCCCAATGTCCTGAGATAATAAAACTCAATTTAAAATAACTGACCCTTTTCTTCTTTAAACGCTCTCACATCTGAGCAATAACAAAAGACGTTTGATGACGTCAGGAACTAGTGGAGTTGAGACAAGAATTGTTGTCTCCATTGTTAAACAACCGCCATTGCCAATGAAAACCTTTCTGACATGACTCAGGAGGAAATCATGTTCACAGATGAGGTAATGAAAATGAGTTTTATTTACATTACGTTTAGTCATGTTGGCTGACTTCCTTCCTCACTCTCTGAAATATCCTGTAACATATTATACATTTAATTCATTACAGCTTAAAATACTATCTGTATTTGACAATGAGTGGAAGGTGATGACCCTTCAACTACTCAGACTGTCTGACTAGTTGGGAAAATCAACATTGAGTTCAAACAGAAAAAATAGCCTTTGCTTTGACATCATACAAAATCTACCCCAAGGACAGACATTTGAGACTGAATAATGAATCAAAGTGAAATGTAAAGGTGACTGCAAACCTATTCAAATGCTCCACTTAAGAAAAAACATCACAAAAGAAATTTCAGCTTGGATCAGTGACTAGATGACCTTCATGTTAACATTATTAAAGCTCGTCTTCTTTTACTTTTATTTTCAATAGCAATTATGTCTCTTCCATCATTTATTGAGGACTCTGTGTTTGAAGGGATAAATAATGACCTTCCCATTTATACAGCAAGTAGGATTAAAAGAAAGAAAAAAAAAAATAGCACTGCTTTAGAAAAAGCACAAAGACCTTCTTCAGTTTGATAAAAACTGCAGTGTGAATCTCTTCACACAGGAAGATAAACGTTTGTTATGTTATCCCACTCCGTTTTATTGCATTTTAAATTGTTTGTTTTTATGTAATTTTATGTAAAGCACTTTGAGCTGCATTTTAAGTATGAAAGGTGCAATAAAGTTTAAATAGTTACATAGGAGTAGTGTGGCAAAAGCTTTATTTTATAGTATAGTATTGCTATTACTAAAACAATAAACTCCTTTACTTTAGTATTGAGGTAAAAAAAAAGAACTTGATTACAGTAAGCAGTTAACATGAAATACTATCAATGTGTAAATTAATCCATGGCATGGTCTTGTTTGTTACCTGACACTAAGCGAGCAGAAAAGTATTTAATGAAGTACAAACATCTCTTAATATAATGTAATATAATAGAAAACACCACTAACTACAGACCTTACTGTGAGTTCCAGCAAAAACTCAGCAATATTCTACTGAATTAACGAGCAATTAACGACATTGTGCAGGCCACTGTAGGTTTTCTGTATTGAGTGTATTGTGTATATATGTGGGGATTTCGCTTATTGACAGGACAGCAGTGAGACAAAGAAAAGGCAAGAGAAAGAGAGAGAGAGAGAGTGAGAGAGAGTATGACAGCAAATGGCTTTAGGTCAGACTCTAACCTGGGCCGCTGCGGTAAGGACTTGCAATGGGGCATGCACTCTACCTGGTGAGCTACAAAGGTGCCAGTATTGTACAAGTGTAAACATAAACAAGGATAAGGTCTTTATAGTGTACTTCTAAATTTCTGTTTCAGTCCAATTTTCAACTTACACCAAAGCACAACAGTGTACAGGTTCCTCGAGGAAAATACAGGGCAAGATCCTTGTGTCACTGTATTTACCACACACGTTTTACACTTGAAAGCTTCTTAAAAGGCTCAAAAGCTTAGCAACAGGCTCAGCTGTAATATAACACAAGAGTGTTTAATGCCTCCTAACATGCCCTGTCACTCCCTTTGTCTTTCATCCCTATTTTGAAAGCAAATGCTTTCACTTTTCCCTCTACTGTGTTTGTGGCTCACACAGAAGTATCCGTGTTACCACAGGCCTACAGTGTCTGTAAAAGTTGCAGGGGAGAAAAGGACACAGAAAAAGAGGTAGATTAAAAAGAAGTAAATCATCTTACCTGAATCCACTTGTCAGGAATGGCCATAGCCAGTCGGTAATCAAAACCAAGTCCTCCCTCCTCCACTCCTCTGCAGAGAGCAGGCATCCCTGACACATCCTGCAGAGAAGTCACACTATTTTATATCACATTTTCCCTTTGTGTGCAGAAGTTTCTTTCCCAGTAGTCGGCCAAGATCACATCAACACCACTCTCCACAACTCACATATTAAGGGCTGCAAATCCTATACCACAGGCCAAAAAAGAGTGACATCCCATTTCCTTTTGCATTACTTCTTAATTATACCAATGAATACTTAAGTAAGCTATGCCTAACGAATAAGTGCTTTTAATTAATAATAGCTGTGGGCAGTGTCATTGCAAAGTAAGTAGATGCTGAAGGTGTGTGTGGTAGAGTGTGCTTTTTACCTCTGCCACAGTGATGCAGTCGGGATAAAGGGTATGAAGAATGTGATTGGCAAGCATCAGGTAAACCAAAGAGTCTTCGTCCACCTGTAGGCCAAAGTACTCACTGTAGTCCCCAGAGAAGCCTGAGCCTGAGGAGTGAACACCCACACAGTCAACACTCATCGTGTGATCCACCAAACGTCTAAAATCCTTCATTCCTCAGTTTTTTTTAAGTGCTGCTATTGTTTTCCTTCATATCTTTGATATATTTCTTAACATATTAAGACAAATGTAATTTTTTATGGTTCATTTTCAGGATGATTCATGCTAGAAATTAGTACAGAGACATCTGTCATAGATTCATTATCTGCTCACAAGTACACGAGCACAGTAAGATGCCACTTTACAGATTGTAAAGTAGCACCTACCAGTACTTGTAGGATATTCAGACAGATTCATAATAATATAATACACATACTACAGACTGTGTGACAGCTACTGCAAATGACTGTTAGTATCCTTTCCTATACTCTCTACTATCTTTAGCTTTTTCTTTGTTTTCATGTATCTCTGTGACTGTAGAGTTTGTACTCAATGTACATTTGGGATTGCTATCTTTCATACTGAAACGTCTTTTTTTTGAGAGACAGATCATAGAGAGTTTCTCAGTAAAATGCATAATTTCCTTGCTTGTGAAACATTTGCAAAGCCAAATTATGTGTATATCCGTGTTAACACTAAGTAGCAGTCTTCTTCTTTCCCACCTTTTGCTGGCACATTGCTGTTTCTTAAGGCATCACCACCAACAACTGTTGATCCATTAAATAGCATGAAATCGTTGCTTACTTTAATAGGCTCTCCTTACTAAATATTTGCTAAAATCCCTCAAATCAGGCAACACTGCGGCATGTAAAATTTTACACTTCACTCAGAAGGTTGACCTCATTTGAAATTCTGTAGAGGAACAGGTTTTATCAAACAATCAGGCTCAAGTATAGTGACTGTTCTGCCTGTGTGTGCCTCATTTTTTAATTCATGCAATAAATAGGTTTTTCTCTATGTCTACTACAACAACTACATCTATTCATAAAAACATCATCTGGAAAGTGTTTTTCATCTTGAGCCTTTTGAACATTTTTATGTTCAGTTTAGTTTAATTACACTGGCATTATGTTTTTTAATTGAAATATGTTTGTATATAATAAATTCCACCATGTGATGCTGGGATCAGTCAGACCTCTCAAAAAAACTCCTATTGGCCTTATTCTTTAAGCTTCTGGAGTCCGTAGTACACACTGTGGATTTGAAAGAAGGATGACATGCTTTACATACACTTTCCAGTCCTGAAATATGAGACGCACACAAACCAGCCTTACCGATGCCATGGTGATGGTACAGCATAGAGGTAATGCCATCAAATCTGAAGCCGTCAAAGCGGTACTCCTCCATCCACCAGCGCAGGTTTGACAGTAGGAACCGCAACACTTCCCAACTACCAAAACACACAAACAGGCACACACACACACACCAACACACACACACACACACACACACAGACACACACATATTCAAGGTCAGATAAACAAGAAGCTGTGAATTATTCACGCATCTCATCATGCACTTTAGGCACCAGAGATTAATTTTCATCGCTACAGGACATTCACATATTGATAACCAAAGCTCCATTATGTTGGAGATGGAGTGTCAGTGACAGGAGATGGTGTTTTCATTAACTACACCGTAGAGGGCATGCTCTCTTCCACGTATCCAGTTGTCAGGATGAGAAATCAGTGGCTTACAGTACAGTACACAGCAAAGTTTTCCGATTTCCATCAGACCACTTGCATGACCACTGGGCAAGCGTTTAGTACAGCAAGGCCCATCCCTGTGTATTTGAACTGATAGGATTTCATGCTACACTTGGGTAAACAAACACCATGCAGGGGAATTGAGTTCCCTCTCTTCAGGATGAGATAAATCATACGCTTCTACTCTGGCTTCCATCTTCAACATATGATGAGCTCTTCTGTCCTACAAGCAAGAGGAAAAATACTCTGACTAAAAATGGGTGAAACCAACAAACTATCTGAACATGAAAGCGTAACTTGTGGCTGTGTTGCCCATGGTGTACTACAAGGCATGCAAATGCTCTCTGTGCCTGTTGGCTGGACTATGTTGGTGGAAACTGGAGGAGGCGGATTCCATAAATGGCCCCAGTCCCCGTTCCTGACTGAGCGATGGTAGTCATCTGGATCTGAACAGCCACTCAAGGCAAAGTACACTACCTCACCTCTTCCCATTCAGTGGCGTGTTGCCATGGAAACGTCAGTTAAAACTCAAGATTTGGTTGTCTCTATGCGGTGTGTGTAATGAGCACCAAATGGAACATTGTACGCATGGATGCCATGTTTGAAAAGCAGCAGCAACGCGCTGAGGATGTGAGGTGAATGACACATTCATGACACTGATTAAATGTGAACTGCTGCCTCTGCTTAGGCTGAAATTCACAACTCAGATGCTCACTGTATGCTCAGCTCCCACAATGGTTGTAATGTGTCTAGTGTATCTGTATAGAACCATAACTGCAAACCTAATAAGTATTCTATTTTTCTATTTTTGTGACAACTTTCTATCTATGGTTCATCTATAAAGTACATTGGTGACTTCTATTCACCAAAAGCTTCATGAAATATAATTTGACCTCCAGAGCTTCACGCCAGCCTCTAATGAAACAGACTGTTTGGAGTTTATTAATATAATACTATAATTATTCAAGATGCCTTACACTCACATACTGTAGGCTGGCAGTACTGCATGTGCCTCAATTACAAACCTTAGAAAGCCATAGCTCGATATCTATCTACTATAGCACTTGGCATTATAAACTGGAGTCTTTACAATTTCGATAAAAGTAAATAATTAATTTGCCTACAATTAGATTTTATCATTGAAAAAAAACAACAGCCCATCAATTTCTACCAAAGCTGCAGCACTATATTATTTGTCGTCACTTGTATGATGTTCTAAACCTTTTGCAATTAAGTACAGAACAAAAAAAGGTATCCTTCTTCTAACACTTTCTTGAAAGAAGTTTTATTTACAACTTTTATGAAAGTAGTAGTAATCAAATAAATTATTGTCTGACAAGTGTTTAACCACTGCGACTCCATGTGGCCACTGGCACGAGTACGACACAAGAAATAAAGCAACATAAAAACATAACCTAAAAAATGATAAGACTGTCAATTTGATCAAGTCTTACAACGGTGTTGGTAGGAAATTGTGTTCATTAAATGCAGTAAAAAAAATGAAATCTTTACCATTGCTTTCTAAAGAAATAGAGTGAACTGCACAACATGCTGCTTACATTTATACTGTAAGTTTTTCTACCTTCTGGAAGATAACTGAGAAGTTCTGGTTTCCCTTCAGCTCTCTGTATTGACAGTAGCAGTTTACAAACCTGATTCACACCCAGAATTAGAAAAGTTAGATACTGAATTTAATTTGTTTTTTCACCTGCGATGCCACACTGAGGGGCAGTTCAACATTTTTTGCTTGAATGATGCAATTTCATCACGTCAAAAAGTTGGTGAAGCAGTAAGAAGTCCCACATTCATGCTTCAACAACACTTCAATAACATTTCAAACTAGAAAAATTCATTCAAACACTACATTTTGTTCTCAATAATACCTTCTCTTTCTATTGTATCAGTGATTTGTCCACTGAATGTTCAAACACTGAATTGAGGATTACATCCTCTATGGCAAAAGACAAAATCTGGGATTTTTTGGGGCCAAATATAAACCATGACACAAAATACATTTAAATGCGTTACCGTTTGCGCTCCATTCCTCAGGGATGACCAACCTCAGCACTGTTTGACAGGTGTGAAGCTGCATGTTACATCGGTGCTTCTTTCTTCCCTTGAGGAAGAGCACAAGGGAGCCTAGTATGATCCGATATAGCAGCCTGGCTGGGTGGTCACGCAGACCCTGTGATAAATAGATTAGGTCCTCCACTCCACTGCACAGAGCCAACAAAGGCTCAGACACAATGTATCCTCACGGGATGGAGATAATAGCCAGAGAGAGCCAGAGGCCCAAGATGAAACCATACTGCCACATTAGGACCCACAATGCCATTCATCATCAAGTCCAATTACAGTGGGAAAGTAGATCTCTATACCCGATGCAATACACCGCTTATCTATGCAGTTCAATGAAGTTATCACTCGGCTTGTGGTGTTAATACAAAAGCAAATTGCATATCACAATGTCCTCATACTAAAGCTCAGCAATGACAGTGAAACCTGGTTAAAGCACACTAATAGAGTAAAACTCTAATATTGCTGCTTGTAGAGTAAGATAAGGTAATCTATTATAGGCGCTGTTGTTTTACCTACAAGCACACACTGCTACAAAAGTCACTACGAGTCAATTCGAATAACAGACTTTCAGCTTCATGCTTAGTGGCCCCTTATCAGATCTTATTTCCTCCTCCAGCTGAACATGACTGTGACCCATATTATGGTATTTATGTTCTGCTGCAAGCAGGGCAGATGTGGAAACATGCTGTGTTTCTAGAAGTCAATTTTGCATAAGGGGTCAAGTCAACTTGTCATGATAGCAGAATGAAAGATTTAGGTCCCTGTTTTCACAACATCACAGGTAAGCTGCAGATAAGACCAAATACATTTAAGAAGCTGACAGGTCATTCCACAAAAAGTGTGATGCTCAAACAACGATGCTAGACAGCCTGATGGATGGTGTGCATTTGTTGGACCAAAAGGGACAAATAAGGTGCTTCATTTAACGCATTTCAAACTTTTCTCCAATCCCTGCAGCCATTAATGCGTCCCGGACAGAGACATTGACAGGAGTGACACCTGCAATAAATTCACATTTCTTGGCTAAAGCTTGATTTATTCATTCACTCAATTGTGGAAATATTCATTTAACTTGTGGATTGATTAAATACACATATGAACAGTAGTTTCTTGAAGGATATGACTTGTTGTATAATGTCTTTTCTACTACTTTTGTGACTTGTCACACATCCTTTCATTAAAAAAGGCCCAGTCCAGTGTGGAACTGAACATTTTTTGTTTAGTAATCAATGTATTGATTTGGTGATGCCTAATTCTCTTAGTTTAAGTTGTGAGGTAGTCAGATGACAGCCAACTGAGAGCTAACATTAAAAGGAAAACAGGGTTCAATTAGCCAATCAGCACTGTGGGTGTCTTGAAACACAAATATGTGCTCTGTGCTGGACATGTAAGAAATGTGTTTATACTTCGTACCACATTGTTAAGCAGCCCTCCAGGCAGTCTGGTGATGCTGACTGCCTTGCAGGGTAAACTCTCATCTAGCTGTCTGACAGACTGTCCCTGTATTGCTGTGCTTTGTGTCAGATATCTGCCATTTGTCTGGCATTCTTTAGGCTGCCTGGCAGCTAGCTGCTTTTGCTTGTCATCCTGGGAGAGATATTCTGCTGCCTGTGAGACCGTTTGTATGTTTAGCAACCTGTAATTAGTATCACCTTGTACTTGCTGCCTTTCAGAATTCAATTGCAGTCTGGCAAGCCAATTCTGCCCCATTGGACTTTTCTCATAGTGGCAGGACATCTCTGAAGGTTATTTGGTATACTTTTTGCTTTTATGGTATGGCCGTTCTGACAAAGAAAATCATGTAAATTATGGGCATGCATCAAAATCATAGCCATACAGCTGATGATGTTAGCCAGCCAGCTAGCTAACATAATGATGATGTGTTGCAATGTGCTGACCACTTGGGATTGGTGAATTACAAAAACAGGTGGGACAAAACTTGGCAGTCTTGATGGAGGGTACAGCCTTACAGGTTTTACTGAGGGAATAACAATCACCAGGGTTGGGGAAGTCGCTGAGGGGAGACAGGCCACAGCAGGCACCATTTGCTTAGTGTCGGTTAGTATGTATGTTAGTATTCCAGACCAGTTACAAAACAGTTTGCTAACTCAGTGTCACTGAGACACATTCTCTACCAAAATATTACAGAGCTCAGCAGTCTTGTTATACTGAGCAAGTGATCTGTTTCAGGGCGCCCTGTTAGCTTAGTCAGTAGAGCTGCCGACCCATATACGGAGTTGCTGCAGCGGTCCGGGTTCGAATCAGTCCTGCAGCCCTTTGCTGCGTGTCATCCGGCCTCTCTCTCGTGGCCCCCCTGTTGCCGTCGATCTTCAGTTGTCTCTATCCAATAAAGGCATGAAAAGGCCAAAAAAATAAGTAATCTGTTTTAGTAGAAAGAGCAACATTGACTCGGAATGAGCAAACCACTGACTCACTTTGCCTCTTAATAAATACCTTTTGCCACTGAAAATCTCCTAATGTAATAATAATACAATAATTAATCTTGCTATTAACAATGTATTTTCTCTGCAAGCTACATTCTATTAAATGGCTTTTTAAGAGCTGCATTATTCATTGGTATCACATGGAAATGCCTGACTGCTAACAGAAAGGTCTTTGCACATATTACTGCCATGGCACTTTTTCTATTTGTCAGATAGTTTTAAGGGGCTGAGGGGCATGAAGGTGCCGAGCTGCTATGTTCCTACCCACTGGCTCCAGCCAACATCTACTGGAAGCTCTACAGGCAGCTCGAACCAGCCGCCATGCACACCTACAGCTAAGTTGAGCTCATTAGCTGAAGCTCACCAGAGGGGAAAAACAGCTTTTCCTCTTGCTGTGTGACTTGATGGGGCAGGGGAAATAACTCATGGGTACTAAATACTGAAATGACTGAATTTGGGCTCAGTTGACATTTCAGGCGTGAGTTTATTGACTGATCAGACAGTGGCCAGGCCACAATGATAGAGCAAAGTTGGTCCAAGTATGTAAAAACATAAATGCTCCAAAGGGAGATAGAGATATATTTTTATTTTGTGATGGTTTCTGCTCTGTTTCTTTAAAATAAAAACCTGTCATTGATCAGCAGGATGATTTCTTTGCTTCCCTACATGTCTTCCCTTGTGTGCACTTCTGTTATTTTAGAATTTCACAATAAAGGATGTTTAGCTGGCATATTGTAGACCCAGCAGCTGAAAACCTACAGCAAAGCAAAGCAATAAATCATAAAGAAACAAACAGATCTCACACTGTAAAAAGTCATGCTGAGAAAAAATCTCTTCCATAATTTGTTACACGGCTCTTTAAATAAATGGCACGTTTAATATTACTGCTACTACCAGTACAATTATAGATGAATCAGCTGTATTGTCACATATACAGTCCTTCACAATACGATGTATAGTAAAATTTGCATTTAACCACAACAGTATATTACGCAACAGTAGCTTGTAGTAATGCAACCTATATGGCATAAGCTGATTTTTATGCAACCTTTGATCAATGGATTTAGCACTATATTATACATCAAAGAAACCTAAATTATTAGATTTTACCATAATTGAGCTCTCAGTAAACTTACAATACAAGCCATGCTAATCTTGTTTAGTAAATGTTTGTAATCTGTAGCTAACTTATCTTTTGTCCTTATTCATTTTGGATCAGTGGTAGCACAGAGGCACAGAAACCTTCAATGTTTAGATTTCCCCATCCGCACATCATTATTTGAACATAATTAAAACACATGCATAGAATAATCTTGTCAAAGAGAGAATTATTGCTCCTTGGTCCTCAAACACAGGGCCGATCTCTCTCAGCATGAGAACATGGAGAAAAGTTAAAAAGAGTTTTCAGAAGCCTGGCCATGGGCCTATTTTTCTTTATCTTAAGAATCCACACAAAGATTGATGAAAAATGGATGCAAATGATCCTGAGAGAGGTGGGGGGATTACAGAATGAGCTCACATCAAGCTTCTCAGAACTCTCACATCTGAAGGCCCTGATCTGCAAAAAGGCTTGGCTTCTCTGGCTGCCAACCCCCTACACGCCAAACTATAGGCTCGTTTCACTCGGTCAGTCTGTCTCAAGGTGACTTTGGCCTCTTTGAAAAGGCTTATGGAGGAAACAGCGGCCAGCGAATAATACAGATATCTTCTAGTTAGTTTCTGTTTATCACATCAAGAGCAGTTGAGTGTCCAATGCATCACCTTGTACATTTGCATAAAATATGCATCCTGATAAGTGTTTAACAGGTCTTTGATATACAATCTAAACATTGTTTGGTGTTTCAATGGTACTTGAAACAACACCTTCAGCTCACCTTTTCCTCCATTATACTCAAATAATTCATCTAATTAAACAATTTAGTGTGTAAGTTTCTTTCTGTAAACAGATGCCAAGAACCTACTGAGGTATCCCAACTATGGTGTCAGCAAGGGCAAGCGTCTGCAGTATGTGTCCTCAAATGCAGACGCATTTGACTCAGAAGCCAAGTTGAGAATTGGATAGGAGCTATCTTTCAAAACAGAATTTTCATCAGACTGAGTTGAATGTTTTATGAGGAAAAATTGAAGAGAAACACATACCAACTAAAAATAAAAGGTGCTCTTTGATAAAGATGCAGAAGTGGAAGCGGAGCAGAAGAGGCTGCAACACGTAAAATATATCTTGGCTCTGATAGCCAGTATCAGTCAGCTTCTGTCAACCTAATAAGAACATCATGGTCAGACTGTGATGGCTGATAGCACGGCTGCTTGATTAAAAACAGGCTGTAGTTCACACTAGCATTGCGGCTAGCATCAGAGGTTCATTTCCTTCCAAAGGGAGTAACAGAAAAGCTTGACACAAACGACAAGTCCAAACAACCTGTGAGAGGCAGAGAAGACAAATGAACTGGCTATGACATTGTGGAGCTCCTTTGGGCTTTTACAAATGACTCCTCATATGCCTCCCAGTCGTGGCATATGTCTGCACTGTGTTTAATGAGTGCTTCGGATATGTGGAGAGTTCAATAACTAATGAAAGAAGAACCTTGTTCTCTTATTATAGCCCCCATGCCTGACACTAAACATTGTATAATGTATTGGAAACTGCTGCACACCAACACACACTTATTAAAAGCGAGTTCAAAAAAGGCATTTGATAGACTCAACAGTTTCTGCTCCTCTTTAATGTGTGCTGGGATCATTTTCCGGATGCAGAGGCAGGAGGAGACACTTCATTAACAGGGCCTACAACAACAGCAATCGATAGTTTTGGTGTACACTGAGAACCAACAGAGTCAGAAAACTGCCTGCCGACTTAAGACCTTTTATGTTTTTCCCCACACTTTTGTAATTAGCTGAAAATATGAACATTAGCAAAGCCTGCCAACACTGTAACATCAAATCATTACTCATAATGCATTAAAATTCAACACCTGCCTGGCCAAGTGTGTAAAAGGTAAAATCAAAGGCATTTCAGAAACCTTAAATTCACCATTAATAGCCCATTTTACACTTTATAAATGTCAGATGAACAGCAAACCTGACTGCATGGCCATTTTGGTAACAGATGTAATCTGTCATTTTCAGATCATGTCTTGCTTTTGACCTTCAACACATCATGCTGTATCAGATCTGAGAAAATGTAAAGAGTGATATGACAGCTCCCATTTGGCCTCATTAATCAATCTGTTCATATGTTGCTTATACATTTTTATTTAAATCCCTAAAATAGTGCTCATTTGTCAACCTTGTTTTTAAAGGTAAACATTTATATATCTGATGCAGCCATGGCTGATTTTAAACCTCTTTCATGAGTTAAGTATCAAATGTAAGATTCAAATGCAGCTTTTAATCTCCACAGCTAGAGCATAATGTGGACTGGAGTTAGAATTGCAGTAATCAGTGGGCTTTTATATTGTGGACAACGCTAAAAGGTTCAGAAAAAAGGGAATGTCGGATTTAATCACATTAAAATTATAGTAGCATGAAGTCAAACACCAAAGTAAAGGAGTCCCATGGTGCTGGTTTCAAGCAGATCTACTGTTAATAACACAAACTGTAGAGCATTTTAACTACTACTGTACATCAGTAAGTAATTGTATTCTGATTTAATTACATTGCACAGCTGGCTGTATCAATTATGCTTTTAGCGGCTCTCACAACTTTTAGAAAAGACTTCACAATCAGCTGTTTCTGGTCCCTACAGTAAGTGTTTTTTCCACCTTGTTGAAACTGAAAATTGCAGTTTGCAATACTAATGCATCAAATTGACTTAAAAATCATGCATTAACCATATGCATTAATGCACATTAAAAAAAACTACTTTGTGCAGCATTGCACAACATATTTTGTTGCCAATAAACTAATGCATAATTATGCTAAAAAGAAAGTTTGTATTGTTGAATACTTCTTGATGTGAGGTGTTCTCCGTCAATCTTGATTATCATATATGACTATAACATATAGATATGATCTGAAAAAGGGTAATTTAATTTACTTTTCTTAAAAAAAACCCTCTTAATGGTTTTTTAGTTTACTTCTAGTGTGCAAGCAAGCCAAATCCATACACACAGTATAGTGTAACATGATGAATTTGTACAAATATGAAGATCAGAAGAACAGTAGTTGACATTGCCACCACACAGACAGTACCTGGAGTAGTTAAAGAGGCGGCTGTCCCACAGTTTGTGCTCCCCTCTGGGTGGAGAGTGGAAGAAACACGAGTCGGAGCCATCAAAGCCGTTCAGGCCGTCCTCAGTGTTCTTGGAGGCGTGGCTGTGAACAACATCCAGCAGCACCACGATTCCCATTGAATGAGCGGCATCTAGAAGCTGCTTCAGCTCCTCTGGGGTTCCATACCGACTACAAACACACACACAAACAAACATATACACATTTTTATTGGTTCACCACAACCTGACCCCAACATAAACCCTTTCCACTTCATGGACTAAACTTGACTCAAAGATAACTGTAATCCTAATTAAACCCTAAATCTAAATCCTGATGTCAAATTACCCTTAGGAGAAAAACGGACCAACTATCCACACATACAGTAAACTGATCTTATATCTTTATTTGAGCATTTGGACCTCATAAAAAACAAAATAACAATAAACCTCTCAGTATAATTCTAATACTTAAATACAAAATGTATATATTAATTAGTACTGTCAAAATTAAAATGTTCATTTTTGCGATTCATTCTAAAAATATTTAACACGATAAAAAAGTTAAACGCAGCTGCATTTTTTGGGGTTGGCTGACCTATGACCTGTGATAATGAGTGCCGCAAAACCAATCCGCGATGATGAATAAGGACAAGGAAGGAGTTTTAGGTGAAAAGCTTAACTTCAAAAAGTTGCCAGACAGATCTTACAAAATAAAAGTAATCTGCAGTTTGCAAAGCCGAATTTAATTACCCCACAGGTATTTCATCTTTGACATATCACCTCTAAGCACCAACCTACTAAAACACAATCTCTAGAGCCTCACCAATATACATTGCAGGAGTGTTGTACTCTTAGGCAAATAACAAATTCTGTAAGTGAGAAGGTAAGTAATGCTTTGGCTGACTGCCACCCAGTTAACATAGTAAAAGACGATAGAATGAAAGAAATCATTCGAATTGCATTGGGAGGCAGCTCGTACAATCTACCCTCAAGAGGAACCATTGTGTCAAAAATACACAATGAAGTCAAGAGGTCATGGAGGATGAACATGATTGAGCAAGCAAAGGACATTGCTCTCACAGGGGACCATTGGACTTCTGGGAGCAATGACAAATACTCAGGCATCACATTGCACTTGTGTTGACTCTAAATTCTGTGATAATACATTTAAAAATCCATTATTACAAGCTTCAGTCTTAAAGGTCCAGTGTGTAACATTTAGGAGGATCTCTTGGTAAAAACAGAATATATTATTCACAGGTATATTTTCATTAGTGTATAATGACCTGAAAATAAAAATGTTTTCGGTACCTTAGA